GTCTCAGCTTCCGACTGTTTGTGGGTTGTCCTTGGACATAATATGCATGTATCTGCACACACACGCATGCTTATATACACACCTCTCACAGGAACATCAGGATAAATATAGAAATGTCTAGGTTAAAAGAAGACAGAAAAAAGGTCTTAATCTGTACAGAAATTATCACATATGTAGTTTATAGCACTAAACTTAAAATTTTTAGTTGGTAGCAGGGTTCTCTGAGAGAAATGGATACATAGTTGTGTTTTATCTGTAAAACAAAAAGCACCTGCCCAGATGGTCTTTCTCAAAAATGAAAACTAGTTTTTATTGCACAATAAAAATCTGCTAACAGCAGTCAGAAAAGCAGCTTCTAATTTTGATAGTTTAAATGTTCATTCTCCATTGGCCCCTTCTTAGAAAATAAATTCATAAATAAAATAGAAGAAGACCTTGGAAGCATCATATACGTTTATGATTATGTCTGCCTTCTTTCAAACAATTTTAAAGCATATTTGAATGATTCCTGTTAAGGACACTCTCCTAAGGTAAACACTGGATGAAAGTTCCATTCTTCTGGCCTGTTGCATTTCCAGAATGTTCTGAGCTAGCATCTATGAAGAGGAAAAGTATTTGGATTTGACTCTGGAATAACTTTCTTACAAGCCAGAACTCTGTGAACTAATAAATATTTCTACAGCCACTACTTTTACATTAGAAAACAGCTTTTTAAAAAATGTTTCTTTGGAAAAAATAATATTGTAAATCCTCCTGAGTCTTTTTAATATTCCAATTGTTAATGTTTTGAAGACTACTTTGCGATTTTTCTTTGAATCATATTTTTCTGTTTGATGTTCTACAGTGTCAACCTGGTAAAATGTTTACCCAGGCTGAACTCCATCAGAAGTCTAGAGAGGCTTCCTAGGTGGAGTTCAAAGTCATGCTCACCTGGATTGGAATGGCACTGCTGAGATTACACCACCTGGACCTCTCACAGTCTTAGCAGAGAAAGCTACCTGCATCTTATTTCTGTTAATTCTTTTAGATTTTACTCTATCTCCAGTTTTGTTCCTCTGAGTCTCTTTTGCTTCTTGGGTTTTGGCCTATTACTAATATGCTCCTAGACAATGATGTAATATCTAGTGTTAGACATCTGTATACTACCCCCTCCCTCTTTTTTCCTTTCCTTCTTTTTCTAGCAAAGACCCAAAGCAGACAGGGGAACCAATCATGTGGATATCTGGTGAAAAGACTTTCCAAAGCCACAAAGAGCAGCCTGTCATGGATGGGATAATTTAAGTGAAGATAGAGGGTAGAAAAGATGAAGTTAGAGAAAAGTGAGGGCTCCATCAGCTAGATGTTTGGAAGCCAATGAAAAAGGACTTTGACTTTGACTCTGAGTGAGATGGGAAGCCAGCAGAGGGTGCTGATCAGGCTTAACCTTCAAGCTTAACAGGCCCACACTAGCAGATGTGTTGAGGATATACCACAAACAATAAAGACAGAGAGGTCTGAAACAATTCCAGCAAGAGATGGTGGTGAATAGCACCAGGATAATGAAGGCTAAAGAAGCATTTGGAGGCCAGCGCCGTGGCTCACTAGGCTAATCCTCCACCTTGCGGCGCCAGCACACCGGGTTCTAGTCCTGGTCGGGGCGCCGGATTCTGTCCCGGTTGCCCCTCTTCCAGGCCAGCTCTCTGCTGTGGCCAGGGAGTGCAGTGGAGGATGGCCCAGGTGCTTGGGCCCTGCACCCCACGGGAGACCAGGAGAAGCACCTGGCTCCTGGCTTTGGATCAGCGCAGTGCGCCAGCTGCAGCGTGCCAGCCGTGGCGGCCATTGGAGGGTGAACCAACAGCAAAGAAAGACCTTTCTCTCTCTCACTGTCCACTCTGCCTGTCAAAAAATAAATAAATAAAAAAAAGAAGCATTTGGATTCTGGATATATTTCTGAAAGTAGAGCCCACAGGCTGCACAATGGTTTGGATGTGTGATGATGACAGAAAGAGAGACTTTGACGATGAATCCAAGGATTTCGCCTGAAAAACTGGAAGAAAGGTATTGTCATTAATGCAAATGAGAATAGTTGAAAGTAGGACAGGTTTGGGAGTGAGATCAGGAGCTCACTTTCTTTGAACATGTTCATATTGGGATGTCTAACTTTTATCCAATATAGATGCCAAGTAGGCACTTGAATTTATGGGTCTGGAATCAGAGGAGTATTCTAGGCCATATATACAGATATGAGAATCCTCATTATATAAATAGTATTTAAAGATGGGTGAATGAATGAAATCACTAGGAGAGTAAGAATAGGTGAAAAAGGAGAGAAGGTTCATGGAGTGTAGTTGTATGCATGCAGATGCTTTTGTAGATTAGGTCTCGTGACTGCAAATGTCTCACTGATATGGTGATCATATGGTGATCTGTTCCTTTTACAAAGGAAAATGCCCTGTAAATAAATATCTGCCAAGCATTTCTGGTTTATTCTTTGTTTTTTTCCCTACTGTGTATGTACATTCACTGGCAAGATCCAAGAACACGTGTGTGTGTCTCTGTGTTTGTACATTTTTTTTCTGATTTTGAAATGTGTTCAGTGTATCAGGTTGACTGGAAGACTAATCTGTTAGGGGAAGAAAATATGCCTAGATTGATTAGAAGAAATAAAATAAATTATTTGATCAATCTAGAGAACGTGTACGTCCCTGAGACCTGGTGGAGAAACTGTCTGCTTCTTGCTGCCATAGAGTGAGGTGAAGTGTGTGAGGACAGTGTTGCAGCCTGACCAGATGGAGAAATGATTGCACTGATGCCTGCCAACCACTGATCCTGGTTGCCTTGGTTACAGAAAACTCAAAACACATGCAAATGAAGTGCATGGTAATTAGCAGTGGAACAACAGGTGACCTAGCTAACCCATCTTGGGGGAAGGTCTGAGTGGCAGGAGAATTACCTGATCCAGAGACAAGGCGTTCACTGTGAGTAACCAGGGCAATGGGGGGGGGGGGGGGGGCGTATTGCCTGTTCAGGAGCTTCTCATGAAGTAGAACTTTCGTGATGTTCCATTAGCTTCGATCAGCCTCAAAGCAGATAACCTGCAGGAACGCTACCCTGGTGCTAGCTGATGCCATTGCTGGATGGAAGGGCACCCAGGGAGAACACTGAGAGTTGGGGACTAAAATAGCTGTTTCAAGTCTTCTTTCTTGTCACCAAAAGGAGGACATGCTTCGTTGTACTGGAGCATCTCTGCATTAATATTCCTTGTAAATCTCTGCGTCTCTGTGGGAATACACCCCCACATATTAGCTACACGTTGTGCCAAGATAAAACAAATGGAAGATAAATCACTTACTAGAATCCATGCACCTGGTTCTGTTTATTCAAATCTTCATAATAAATTTAAATGTCACAATCACAGAGGTAGTTTCAGGAATGAGAATGTTACTTCCGTTATAGGGATCTGGTAGGTTGATCTGAAACAACTCAATTTCTGTGAAAGTCTGGACATGAAATAAACTCCCTCTTCCCATCCGAGAGGCCCCATTGGTTAGTGAAGCCACAGAACAAACCTGAAGACTTCACTGTGCAGGGAAATGGTACAACCTCCCTAGTCGGAGGTATCAGAAACCACAGTGAGTAACACCATAATATCTGGGGCTCCTTCTGGAAGCATTAAGAGCCAATTTGATTTGTCCTCTGCTTCCTGTCACAAAGCTTCTTTGGAAGCTATAATTGAGAAATCACAATATTGGGTTTACAGGACTCTTAAAATGATATCCAGGGTTGGATTAAGGAAATAAAGGAAGCCAGGAATCAAGGGACTATATTTCTGTTTCCAATGTTGATCATTTGCCACCCCAAGAGAGCACCTGGATAGGGGCAGAAATGAATACACAGAGTAGATTTGGGCCGCAGCCTTGGGAAGTCAATTACTTTGGTCCACGTGGTTTCATCAAGGGAGGAAGGAAATGAGCCTGTCAAGGAGCACCAGAGAGTGGCGTCCTGAGCCAGGCACCCACGAGTGATGATCACGCTGGCCCTGTCATCTGAGCATGGACAGAAGCGCCAGCGATAAGCACCGGCAGATGGGATTTCAATTTCTGCTCCTGGCAAACCAGTAAGCTCAGCATTTCAAAGCTTTAAAAGCTTTCAAATTATTCAGCATCTTCAGGTACTCAAGCAAACATCAGATTTTCCTGTTCATGCTTGCAGATAGGAAGCTAAAAAATAACAAAATAACAAAAAAAAAAAAAAAAAAAGCCCGAAGACAGGCAATTTGGCGTTTTGTTTAAAGGTGTACTTTCTATAACTAGTGTCCCTTTGCTGTGATACAATAAATAATTTCCCCATAAACAATCTGAACACACATGAACAACCTACTTCCTTAGAAGGCTACCTCCCTCTTGCTCTCTTTCTCTCCTTCTGACTTTCAAGTAAATGCAAATTAAAAAAAAATAGAATTAATAACTGAAAATTCAACTAACTGCTTTGGGAAGACTCATTCTTTCAAACCAAACAGAAGCTTTTGGAAATCAAAGCAGGATATGATTTTCTCAAATGAGACAGAAGACAGGCATATCTGAAGCTTGTCTTTGGGTACAGTAACTCTGTATCGGGGTTTGAAATCTTGTATGGTGACAGATACCTGCAGCTTTGTTCTATTTGTTCAAGACTGCTTTGGCTGCTCCAGAACCTTTGTGCTTCCATGTAAATTTCAGGATTGTTTTTTCCAGTTCTGTGAAAAGTATCATTGGTATTTTAATGGGAATTGTGTTGAATCTTAACATCGCTTTGGATACTGCAAATATTCTAACAATATTAATTCTTTCAGTCCATGAGCGTGTCTTAAATTTCTTTCACCAGCGTTTTATAATTTTCCTTACAAGGTCTTTAACAACTTGGTTAAATTTACTCCAAGATTTTTTTTTTTGAGCTATTGTGAATGAGACTGCTTTTATACTTTCTTACTGAGCTCATCATTGGTGTATAAAATGCTACTGTTTGTGTGTGTGTTGATTTTACATACCATGACTTCACTTTTCAGTTGTAATAGGCTCTTGGGAGTCTTTGGATTTCTCTTTATATAGAATCATGTCACCTGCCAACAGGAATAAATCACAGCATGCGATTTACACATGTGTATCTTCAAAGAGAAAATACTGAAAAATGCTACTCTTTGTCAAGGTATTTTTAAAATAGAGATGGTAGGGGCAAGTGTTGTGGTGCACTGGGTAAGTCACTGCTTGGGACACCCACATCCCCTGGGACCACCCATACGGGAGTGCCATTTTGAGGCCCAGATACTGTTTCCTATCTAACTTCTGAATGCACCTAGGCAGGTGGTGGATGATGGCCCAAGTACGTGGGTCCCTGCTACCTACATGGGAGACCCAGATGGAGTTCTTGGGTCCTGGCTATGGCCTGGCCTAGCCCTGCTGTTGTGGTCATTTGGGGAGTGAAGCAGCCTATCAAAGTGCACTCTTGCTCTTTCTCTCTCTCTCTCCTCTCTCTCTCTCTCTCTCTGTCTCTCCCTCACTCTTTCAAATACATTAAAAAAAATCTTAAAATAAAATAGAGGTGGTATACTCATGGACCCCATACATTCTTTTTTATGCAACAAGCATTGATGCACTGTTTATTATTAATCGCTTTAGTAAGGGTCTGCTTTATAATACTTGTATGGTTCCCTGCAGCCTCTGACTCTGGGATGTATATGACCAGGCTAATAGCACACGGCTGTGGCATCAGCTTTCATGATAGTTGATTTCCTCTGCTTTCTTGTTGTGTGAGAGAACTTAGCACAGTTAGCTTTCTGACTAAAGTCAAGGAGATACACTTTTAAAAACTTTCTCTACCTAGAAATGACTACAGTTTACTGCTTAGAAATTACTGCAAAATTATGTAGATCTTACTATTTATAATGTTAATACACATGTACCACCATTAATAAATTTGGCTTTTAAAATATTTTATATTGGAATAAAATTGGCTTGCTTCATGATTTTACATATTTTATTTTATGCATTTAATTGCTTTATTCTGAGACAGTTTACATAGATCTCATCAGAGTGCCAAAGGAAGTGAAGCATAAGAAAATTTTAAGGATTTGGAGTCTTTTTTGTTGTTCCTGTTATCGAAAATATTTTCCTTTTATCTTAATTTTTTGAGCATGTTTTCACTGATCATTGAACTCTGGGCTGGCCTTTGTTTTCTTTTCAGCATATTGAATTTATCTGTCCATGGTCTTTGGCTTTCATCATTGTTGTGGAGAAGTCACTGATAATCCGTCACTCCTTTGAAGATAATCTTTTTCTGCTGTTAAGAGATCTTTCTTTCTTTTTCCATTTTCAGTAAAATTGGGCTTAGAAATGTTCTTTCTTCTTTATTTGCTTGACTTCTTGAAACTGTGGCTTGGTATCTTTCAATAATTTTGGAAAATTCTGTGAAAACTGCTTCAAATTTTGTCTCTCTTCATTTCTGTCATCTCTTTCAGGGATTATATCTTTCATTTTTTTCTTCTGTATTTTATATCTCTTTGTCCACCCTTGTCTTCTTTGTGCATTTTCCTATGATCGCTCTCCAAGTTGTCTGATTCTTTCTTCATTTGTGAATGACTTAATTTGGGTTATTGTTCTAGTATTTCCATTTGTTTTTTTTTTTTTTTTTTTCAGACTCATTAGATCGATATTCCAGAGCCTTTGGTTTACAGGTCTTTTGTTTTATTTTGTTTTTACCCTTCCATTTATTTTTTCCAATCATGTTGTTCTCCAATAGAATCTTTATCTCAGTCACATGCAGATTAAAAACCACAATTAAAGTTTATCTTTTTAAAAAATAAATAGGTTTCAAAGTATTGAGGCATTATCCTGGGTGGAGCTTGAGTTGAGTACTTTTCTTGCTGGGCTTCAATTACCTCATCTGTAAGATGAGGATGTTGGGAAGGGTCATTGGCTTCCAGAATCTTAGATTTTACCAACAAAATTTCCACAATATATTCTGGGATACATGAAAGGGTTGTAAAATTTTTGTGTTTCTAAATGAGGATATGAGTAAAATAACCATCCCCATTTATTTCATAAAAGAAAAGACATTGAACACAAATCTTAGAATAAAGAAAAGAATGGAACCTTGACTTGTATAGGTTTTTAGAGATCCCAAGTGATTCTAGTGGGCAACCAAAGTTAAGAAATGCTGTAGAAACCCCCAATATTGAGTTCAAAATTCAGTCCTAATTCTATCACTTAAAGCTGACCTTTGCAAATTTTTAAATGTTCTGGCTCTGAGTTTCTTCATCTAAAAAGTAGAGATTATAAAACCTAATTCACTAGGTCAAACCAAGATGAAATGATATAATGTATTACACATCTCTTTGTGAACTATATAATACCATGTAATAAATGATACAAATCATTGTTTTCATTCCTTATGCCAACACAGGTACAGCATCCATAGATAGTCTTGCTTCCTACTGTATGGAAGTGATAGGATGAAGGTAACCCTGACCTTAATGGAAAATGGTGAAAAGTGAAGATTGATTGGACATTGAATGATTGGCAAGCAAGTTTCAACTTAAAAGAAAGAGTCTTGTTTTACTAGAGTACTGAAAATATTCATGTATTGTAGAAATGATTTCCTGGGTACCTACTATGTTCTAGGCACTTGGGCTAGGTGCATTGTTTATGTTATTTCTAATCCTCAAAACTTATCCTCAGTTTACAAATGAAGACATATCTGCAGAAATGAAACTAACTTATCACCCAAAGCTCACTTAGGATGTGAAGGGAAGAGCTAGACTCTGAACTCAGGTCTGTCTCACTCTGGTCTTTGAGCTTTTCTTGTAAGTCACCAGGGTGTCATCCTATGTATTGGCTTTGTCAAAAGTCTTCTTAATATCTTATTTTGTAAGTTAGTTTTTCAACACCTAGAAGAAGGCAATCTAGTTGAGGCCAACTTAATTCAAGGTAAGTGAAAATATGACCTACCAGTGGACTCAGTCTTGGTGTTTTAGGCCAGAGGTTACAGGATGGAGCTGATCTAGGGGAATCCTCTTCATTCCTCCCTCATCAGATAACCCTTTTAGGACCTTTTCTCCATTTCATTTGATGTACTACACTACAACATAAAACAAAAAACAAATAAAAGGGTTTGGCAGCAGTTCACAATGTTCCTCTTTAAGGCACACTTTCACTTCAAAAGAGCATTCACTGAGCTTGAAATACTTCCAGAACCAAATCGAAAGGAATTTTAGAAAGTGGTCAGCTATTAGTTAGGATATTTTCAGACAAAGCACTTCTGAGTATCTGGAATTATACACCCCTGAAATAGACAAGCAAATGTGAAGTTTATATGTTTTAATAGAGGGCTGTTAGAAAGAAAAAGAAAAGAAAGGTAGATGAGAAATAGGATCAATATTAAATATTCAGCCTTATGTGAGAGCAGCGGCATTGATCCTCGTGATTGAGAATACAGGAGTGAGCACACTAAGACTCCAAGGGGAGTAGTGGTTGAGGTTCCAGAACTATCTCCTTACTCTCGGACACTCTTCAAGGGTTTCTGCTTTCACTTGGCTACCAACTAACTCAATTGACTCTTTCTTTCTCTCTGCCTCATTCCTTACTCTCTTGCTGCCATTTCTGTTTGAGATTTCCTATTTGGCATTATTATGCTTTCTGCTTACTCTTATTGTAAGTCCAATCCAAATTCTCTAAAATGTGACTACAATGGGTTGAACTGTTGCCATCTGGGCTGGGCAGGAGTCTCAAGGACAACCACCTCAAAGGCTATGGATCCTGAATAACCACCTCTGGTTCAGAGAGCAAGCCCCTGTCAAACTGTACGTGACCAGGCTAGCCGGAACCCATGGTACAAAGTAGGGTGATGTTTGGGTCAAGAACCACCAAAACAGGATAGTAAAAATGGCAGACAATGAACATGAACTGTTAAATACACACCTCAAAAAGACAAAAGCATGCTCCATCTACCTCAAAGCTGATTCCTGTTCAGATGAATTACTGAACAGGGACAGGACTAGGTGAATTCAGAGAGGCCTGGGGTGGTGACTTTTAGGGGGCAATCATTCCCAGGATTGTACAAGGATGGGGTCAGCATTTGAGAGGGAATGCTTTCTTAAATTTTGTGACAGGCATATCCTTTGTCTCATCCTCATCTGGACCCTACTGTGATAAGGAGGTTTCTCTTTTCTTATTTTCTTTTCTTTTTTGTTACTTGAATTTTAATGTTGTGTCTATTACTAACATTGCTATTTCCAATATGAAAGTCCATAAAAGTTCCAAACACTTGTTGCATTTCTGTGGAGCAATGATAATACTTAGTCTTCCTAAAGGATTAATAATAATAAAACTAAATGATTGCCAACCTCAAGTTTCATTTCACCATAGTAAGGGTTAATCAATATAATTAATAAAAGACATTTTTGCTATCACTTTTTTTTTACTCCTGTTTTGAGAGGAATATTAACAGCCCATATGACCATTTTCTATGCTAAGGGCCAGTGAGATGCACAAACTTGAACTCTCATCTAGAGGTGAAGAATGCAACATCTTGTAGGTGGGAGATCAACTATTTATTCACTAAACAGAAAATCAAGGATCATTTTTCCCTGAGAATTTGCTTAAAATAGTGGAATCATGTGGTTTGCAACTAGAATTATGAACATCCTGACTGGGAATCATTTCTAGCACCCATTGTGTTGCTAACAAAGATAATCTATTGAATGATAGCCTAAGCAGCACATGTCAATCATTTTTCTTTAGAAAGTAAACCAAATGGCAACTGTAGAGCAAACACTCCGGCAAATGGCAGTTTTATTTCCTAGTAAATTAAATGTGGAATATAAAATTTTCTTGGGTAAAATGTATTATGACCTGTAGTGAACATTGTAGCGTGACAACCAGATCCCCCTTTACACCTGCGAGGAAAGTGAACCGCTAAAGGCTCAGGATTATGTCCCTGTTTTGGAAAGGGCCCTCAGTCCACTGTCATTGCCTTGCCCAGGGTTCGCCCCCTCCAAAGGAGAAGCCTGCATTCAATAACTGGCTGATGCAGAGGCACAAAAATCTGAGCCCCACCCCATGCTTCCGTTACAGGCATCTCTAAAGGGTCACCTCATTATCAGAGTTCCCTGTAGTATTACTGATGGTATTGCAAGCACATCACGTTCTACTTTCTCTGCCCAATCCTCCTTACGTAACACCCTTAGAGGTGTTGTTCCTGAGAGAATTCCTCAAAAACTGTCTCACGCACAACTGGCAGAATCCCACTGTTTCCTGGGACCCCTGATCTGAAACGCTTGGAACCAGGTGTGACCCTAAGAAGCAGACTAATCTAAAGATTTTGGTGCTGGATAATCAAGGAGTTGAATGACTATGAGAACATCCTCCCTGTCAGTGGGTGAGTGGAAGACGGGTAGTGCCTGGCATTCTGTAGGAACACGACTACTAATGTTTTCTTGTATAGGGAATTAGCACGTGAGGCTGGTAGAAAACACACTGAGGGGTATGTTCTCCTGGTGTATAAGAGATATGGGGTATAGAATCTTTTCAACATGGTTGCATTTTTATACCCCTATTAATAAATATGAATCACACCGGCTCTCCCTGAATCTGAATGAACTTGTGACTGCTGTGACCAGTAGTGATTCCATGCTGTCCTGTACACTGTAGGGTGTTTAGTAGCAACCACTAAGCCCAGCAGTATTTTCTTCTTCCGGGAATGTCTGACATTACCAGGTGTCTTCTAAGACAAATCACCCCCAGTTAGGCACCATTCCTTCTGACAAATTCAGCTTCCAGCCCTTTGAGCAACCCCTAATACATCTGAGTCTTCCCAGCTTATGTCCCAGACATTGTGAAGCACAGATAGCAGTTTCTTGTTACTGTTGCCTGTCCAAATTCTTTTCCTGAAAAACATGTAAATATGCCCTTAAAATGATTGTTTTCTACTGGTAATTGGAAGAGTTTTTTTTTTTAATACAGTACTAGATAACAGAGCATGGAAGAAACAGTAATTATAATGACTATAGAATTGGATGACTATTGCTGGATTGCTGGAGGCAATCAATACATTGGATAAGATAATGAAAGTTGGGCTGGAGCTGTGGCAAAGTAGGCTTAGCCTCTGCCTGTGGCACCAGCATCCCATAAGCACCAGTTCATGTCCTGGCTGCTCCTCTTCCAATTCAGCTCTTTTCTGTGGCCTGGAAGGAGGTACCTTTCTCTGAAGGGAGGAGAGAACCTCCACTTTGACTATGACCTTGTCTAAACAAGATAAGAATCGGAGAACTCAGAGGGCTTCCATAGCCTTGGAAACTCATGACTGGAGCATAGGGAGATTACTGATGCCATAGACAGGAGTGTCAATTGGTAAAGTCAACAACAGGAGTCACTGTGCACTTACTCCTCATGTAGGATCTCTGTCCTTAATGTGCTGTGCATTGAGATTTAATGTTATAATGAGTACTCAAACAATATATTTCACTTTGTGTTTCTATGGGGGTGCAAACTGTTGAAATCTTTACTTAATGTATACTAAACTGATCCTCTGTAAAAAAAAAAAAAATTATCAACTCCCAACTTGACTCTCACTGGGATTAAACATGACAATAGGTCTGATCTGATTTCATCATCATTTAAAAAAAATCATCTATTATTTTTCACTTTATGTTTCTGTGTGGGAGCAAACTGTTGAAATCCTTACTTAATGTATACTAAGCTGATCTTCTGTATATTAAGATAATCGAAAATGAATCTTGATGTGAATGGAAGGGGAGAGGGAGTGGGAAAGGGGAGGGTTGTGGGTGGGAGGGACGGTATGGGGGGGAAGCCATTGTAACACATGAGTCGTACTTTGGAAATTTATATTCATTAAATAAAAGTTAAAAAAAAAAAAAAGAAGACAGCCCAAGTACTTGGGCCCCTGCACTTGCATGGGAGATCCAGAAGAAGTTCTTGACTCCTGACTTTGGCGCAGCTCTGGCTGTTGCAGCCATTTGGAAAGTGAACCAGCAGATAGAAGACCTTCCTCTTTGTCTTTTTTTTTTTTTTTTTTTTTTTTTTGACAGGCAGAGTGGATAGTGAGAGAGAGAGACAGAGAGAAAGGTCTTCCTTTGCCGTTGGTTCACCCTCCAATGGCCGCCGCGGCTGGTGTGCTGCAGCTGGCACGCTGCGCTGATCCAAAGGCAGGAGCCAGGTGCTTCTCCTGGTCTCCCATGGGGTGCAGGGCCCAAGCACTTGGGCCACCCTCCACTGCACTCCCTGGCCACAGCAGAGAGCTGGCCTGGAAGAGGGGCAACCGGGACAGAATCCGGCACCCAGACCGGGACTAGAACCCGGTGTTCCGGCGTGGAGGATTAGTCTAGGGAGCCGCGGCCCCGGCCCCTCTTTGTCTCTTACTCTGTCTGTAACTATACCTCACAAATTAATTAATTAATTAAATGAAAAGATAATGAAAGCTAAAGATGTTTAATTACCAAAAAGTGAATGTGGAAGCCAGAGATTCTCCCTGGCAGCATAGAAAGAGTCTCATCTCCTGAAAGCTGAGGACCAGGTTTCAGAAATTAATAATGAAACTGGAGAACTTGGCAAGTTTCCTATGCCAGAGGTAGGAATATATTTGGAGAAGTGGGACTCTGAGACATGGCATTGGGAAATATTGGTTAATGCTCTCAAAAATCTTAAATATCCAGATTCTGCTTAACCTTATGATCCTAAGAAAGGTGATTCATTTCTCTCAAAGTTTAGTTCTCGCCATCTGTTTGGAGATGATGTAGAATCCTCTGCCTCACAAGCTAACCTGGTCCCTATAAGGATCCACCTTCAGGTCCCTTCTTGGCCCCCAGGTCAGTAACTAGGGTGATGTCACACTGGAATTTCTGGGACTGAAGAAATCACTTGTGGAATTTCTGGGACTAAGAGTAAAGCACCATACTTTGAAAGGCTACATGTCCCAGCCAGCATACATCAGCTGGGGTTTGGAGAATTGTATGATACACGACTCTGAGGCTGCTAGATCAAGCAGGGAGGAACATAAAGGGAAACAGGAGAGTTTATACAGGAGGACTTTCAAACAATAAAGGACTTACGATCCTGGGAAAG